TATACAGTAATTAATTTTGATCCAACATCCACTTAACATTAATCAGGCAAGTTGAATACTAAGTCTGATCCAGACTTGATTATCTTGAGGGTTTATAGCCCTAGAAGTTGGGAAACAAACTGTTTACCTTGACTGCCAAAGTTAAATCCTTATACCAACATTTGAATCAATCTCCTGAGACATAGGATGGAAGTCATCCATTAAGGTCATCATCTCTTTTTTCTTCTTACCTTCATTGCATTTGTTTTACTTTGTAGGTTCCCTTAGTAGCCATATGCTGAGTCCAGTGAAAGGTTCATTTAACACAACTGCGTTTCCAGTGACTGGTGACAGATCCCCAGGCTTTTAGCGGTCTTTCATAGCCTTAACTGGAGATGCCAGGGCTTTTCTGGAACTCTTGGGGTGTAAAGCATATGCTCCACCATTGAGTTATGACACTGATTTATATATTTATTTTATTTTCTATACTTACACCCCAGCCTTCTCACCTCCGGAGGGGCGGGGGGGGGGGGGGGACTCAGGGAGCCTCCCAACAAGATGCATTAACATCATAAAACAATAAATAAACACATTCGACAGATACATTAAGAACATGAAAACAATTCATTAAAAACAATTGAATAAACACGCCAGTTAAAAACCAAATCCGAGTCTGGGCCAATTCATTGTCATGGGTTGCCTAGGTCGTCTTTCCATTTGCTACTAATCACTAGTCAAATGCCTGGTCCCATAGCCAAGTCTTAAGTTTCTTTCTGAAAGACAGGAGGGAGGTAGTTAGTCTGATGTCTCTGGAGAGAGAGTTTCACAGACGGGGGGCCACTACTTAGAAGGCCCTGTCCCTCGTCCCCACCAATCGCGTTTCGATGGTGGTGGGATCGAGAGCAGGGCTTCTCCAGATGATCTTAAACTTTGTGATGGTTCATAACAGGAGATACGTTCAGACAGGTAGTCTGGGCCAGAACCGTTTAGGGCTTCCTTTCTACTTTGCTATCTTTCTAAATCTTTATTCTTTTTAAGCAAGCAAAATGTTTTGATTCATGAATCCATGAAACAACTCTATAAGGTAGGCTGGCAACCTTCATTTTATCACCAACACACAATGGAAATGGGGGAGCACTGAAAGAGTAGCCACCTGTTTAAGAGTTGTTGGTTTTGTTGGGGTTGTTGTTGTGTTCTTTTAAATTGTTTCTGACTTATGGTGACACCAAGGGGAACCTGTCATGGAGTTTTCTGGCTCTGAATGTATGTGACTTGCTCAACCAGTGGGCTTCTGTGGCTGAGTGGATAAGCAAACTCTGATCACAGAGCTGTAGTCTCAAACCGCTATACCTTCTGTCTCAAGAAACTTAGCAGTTTTTGGATTACAGGAGCTTAAAATGTGGCTGGGATTTGGAGGCATGAGACAATTTGCTGTCAGAGTCAATGGAAAGCTTAGTAACCCTGCCTCACATACACACAATCTTGAGTGTGTTGCTTATTTAAGCGTGGAAAAATGGGAAATTTAGAATATGCCCCATCTTGCCTCTGCCTTCATGTTTTTATGGCTCAGAACAAGAGATGAGGAAGATTAGGAGCACCTGTTGGTTCCTCCTGTGATAGGTTTGCCAGAGCCTATGTAACACAATATCCTGGCTGCTTGTCCCTCCTCCTGCCCCTCAATTTTGGCTGTTCCACCAAGGAAATTTGCATTGATGGTCTTGGAAATTGAATGGGCAAACGTATGATAGCTGGGACCCATAGCTATGCTAGTTGCATAACGCAGCTCTGAATTAAGGAAGGGGAGTGCATGAGACAGTGGGGCATATGAGAGACGCAACTGCGTCAGCGTCCTGGGAACATTGCTCGCCAGAAAGGGGGAGAGGAAACATTTCTACCCCATTTACCATCTTTGTAAGCTGTTTTTTTAAATAATTTAACAGTAAATAACTCTAACATTACTTCACTCACCTTAATACTTGACTGTTTGTTGTCCCCCCCTTTCTGTCCCCCCCCTTTCTGACCCGTGTTGGGCACGTCTTCCCTTCATTAATTCTGCCACACATTGTGCAACCAGCATAGGCTTCCAGCTACTAGAGTAGGGTCCCAATTATCATACTTTTGCCTTTGAATGGAGCCATACACTTCCCAAAGTTGGTGAATTTGGACAAACAAGGCAGTTACTTTCAGGGACATGTGTGTGTGTGTGTGTGTTTTGTCAGGTATTTAAAGCATGCACCTGAATTAGATTTCTGATCACATTATTCAATAATCATTGGCTTTGTCTGGGTTTTGCAGGAGAATTTTCAATCTTGTCATCATTTCTGTCACCTTTCAGCATCTCCAGGGTCATGTTTGAAGCAGTAAATGAAGCTGATCACAACCTGTCTGACATCAACATCCACTCCTCACTGTCCAAATTCTAGACACAGACAGGTGAGGTCTTCTTTCCCAGTTCCCTCTCCTCCCTCCCTCTGCTTGTGTTGCCTACTTCCATTGCCAAATTGGAACAAAGGTATCCATTAGGCCTGGGTAACAACGGAAAAATTTGTTTCTAAAATCGATTCGTTTTTTGGGGGTTTGCGTTTCGATATTTAAAAGAATTCCGAAATTTTTCTTTTAAAAAGTTCGATATTTACGAAATTTCGTAAATGTAAAAAAATTACAAAACATTAACGAAACAAATACGAAACAATAACGAATCGATTCGTTAATGGCGGACGCGACCGCGCAATACGCTAAAAAACCTCCAAATGGGACAGGGGGAACTTCTGAAGCTTCCCTCTCCCTCTGTTGTTGACTGTTGGTGTGATATTATAATTTTTTTTCACTAATTAAACAAAAAACAACTATAAAACTTGCCCCAGACATGCGGAAATAATAACGAAACGACCTCAAACCGATAACGAAACGAATACATAACAAATCCGAAGCATTTATGAAACGAATTTAAAAATTCATTTCGTTTTTAAGTTGCTCCAGAATGGTTCGTTATCGCTTCATTATAAAAAAAATAACGAATTTTTAACGAATTACGAATTAACGAAACGAAACCGCCCAGCCCTAGTATCCATCCATGGTATTTATCCTTTTCCCCTTTTCTTTCTTTTTCTTCCCAAAGTTCATCTCAATAGTTTATAGAAGAAACAAAGACTATTGATATTTCGTCTCTCAGCAAATAGTGAAAGCTCCTGAAATCGCCAATCTAACAACAGGAATCCTGGGGGAAAAAACTTATTTTTTTCAAGTTATCTTTTTTAAATCATTTGACTGCTGAAAATATCTATCTACTATATAGATTTTCAAGTATTAATAAAATGTTTTAGTGTTCAAAATGCTTTATGAAAGAGAGATTGATTTTTTTTAAAAGGCAGAAATATTGTTCAGGTACAAGTAAGTATATTCGTACACACATGCATTTTTGGTGGGTGTTGAATTTTGTCTGGCAGATGTTGCACTAAATTTCCATGAGATGGCAGCATATGCTTGCAAGAGGGAATAATTACAGACAGGCTGGAAGATTTTGGAAAGACCACAAACTGACTACAAGGTTCGTAGAGGAACCTGATTTCTGAACTTGATTATCAAACTGTTTTCTAGAATCTCTGTTTTCTTTATAGACTATCTTCACTCTATAGTATTGACCAGAATGATTGTATCACATTGATGCATGGTAATTTTCCTAAGTATCTATTTGAGGGAGCATCTACACTGTAGAATTAATTCAGTTTGAATCCTGGAAGTTGGTTTTTACAAGGATTGCACTTTAGCGATCCCTCATCAAACTGAAACTCCTTGTTTGTTTGTTTGTTTGTTTTTCATGTCAGGAGTGACTTGAGAAACTGCAAGTTGCTTCTGGTGTGAGAAACCTGGTGTGCCCAGGGGATGAATATATTGAATGTTTTAGCAGTTAAGCAAAGACATAATATACATTATTGCAATTATATAATTGTTTTACTCTTGGTCTTAGGGACCTTTTGACTTTTGCATTTCAGGGAACCCTTGCTCTCTATATTTTGTGCCCAGGGGATGCCCAGATATTTTTGATGTTTTGCCAACCTTGTGGAAGGCTTATCTCATGTCCCTGTATGGGGAGCTAGAGCTAACAAAGGGAACTCATCTGTGCTCTTCCTGGATTTGAACCTCTGACCTGTCGTCTTCGGCACAAAGGTTTAACCCATTGCACCACTGGGGGCTCCTAACTCTTTGGCGGAAAAGGTTAAAAACCTTGCAAAACTGTAATTCTTGTGATTCTATAGCATAGAGTAATGGTAGATAAAGTATATCAAATGACATTTCTACAGTGTAGATGCACCCCTTGCCTGCCAACCCCTGAAATAATAAGACCACACACCAGTATTTGGGTTTAAATATGGGCAACTTTTATTAATTGCTACCTATTAAACTATGACTGGATCCTGAACTTGGTGGAAAAACCGAGGTAGCATCCCTGCCTGGCCTACCCCTGAGCTAGTTAGGACGAAACACCCGGGTCCCCAGGGAACCTAATCTGGGCAACCTCTAAGGGAAATGTCTTGGAGAAGTGCTTTGCTTTACTCATAGAATCATAGAATCATAGAGTTGGAAGAGACCTCATGGGCCATCCAGTCCAACCCCCTGTCAAGAAGCAGGAAAATTGCATTCAAAGCACCCCCAACAGATGGCCATTCAGCCTCTATATAAAAGCTACCAAAGAAGGAGGCTCCATCACACTCCGGGGCAGAGAGTTCCACTGCTGAACAGCTCTCATAGTCAGGAAGTCCTTTCTAACATTCAGATGGAATCTCCTTTCCTGTAGTTTGAAGCCATTGTTCCGTATCCTAGTCTCCAGGGCAGCAGAAAACAAGCTTGGCTATCATGTCACCTCTCAGCCTTCGCTTCTTCATGCAAAACATGCCCAGCTCTTTAAGCCGCTCCTCATAGGGCATGTTCTCCAGACCCTTGATCATTTTAGTCAACCTTCACTTGCTTTACTACCTTCAGATCCTCTGATGATGCCAGCTATAGATGCAGGTGAAATACTGTTAAAAATGCTGCTAGAACACGACCATACAGCCCAGAAACCATACAATACTCCAAATAAATCAATTATTTCTTATAATTTGGTTTTTAAAATGGTATGAACTCTTTGTGTTTTTATCTGTGCATGCTTTGAAATCTCATCTCAAGCGTCTTTGCACATCCCCATTCTGGGAGAAGGCAGGATACAAATAACAAATCAAATCAACCCATCAGTAAGAGGCTTAATATCTACACATCAAGCTACACCTCCAGGTGCAAAAGCAGACTTCCATCAAAAAAGTGGCAGGCCTGGACAAGAGCAGTATTGTCGGGTGACGTTGCTGTCATGGCTGCCAGCACTCTGTCTGCAAAAGCAAGGGAGAATGAAGTCATTAAGCAACTTAAAGGAATATTTGTTCCCTGCATGATTTAGCTCTGGTGGTGGTAGAAAAGAAGGGGAAAGAGGGGGGGAAGGACATTGACGCAGCAACTCTACCTTGTATTTCAGGCATGTGCTGAATTAATAGGAAGTAAGTGGCAAATATGTGTCCACTCAGCTGTGACCAAAGTATTTGCATTGTGCAATGGAGTTGAAAGGAGGCGCTAATCACGGTGTTTGTGGGTCATGAGTTCCACCAAACTGTCGACAGCCTCCATGGCATCCTGACCAAAGGGCTTGTCCTGGAGGTGCATTTGTGACTCCAAGACATTGTAGACATATACTTAAGGAACTCTGGAGCCATTCTCCGTTACTTTTCTCCCTTGTCTCAAATCAAACAACAGATCATTTTTGCCATTTTCTTCCCATGCAGTTCTCACAGATTATTTGCACTTTATGTCTCATTCTTCTAAAAATGCACATGGTATTTTTGCATAGAAAATAGCAATGTACATGAAGGAACAAAGCATACATGTGCACAATTGCTATGTGAAACTTTTGCATGGAAAAAAGTTTGAGGACTGGGACATCTGTAGGGATTCCAAGGTGCTTGTTTATAAAGCGATTGTCCTCCCAACCCTGCTATACACCTGTGAAACGTGGACTGTCTACAGACATCACATGCAACTCCTGGAACGATTCCATCAGCACTGCCTCCAGAAAATCCTGCAAATCTCTTGGGAAGGCAAGCGGACAAATGTCAGCTTGCTGGAAGAAGCAAAGACTACCAGCATTGAAGCGATGTTCCTCCACCATCAACTCTGCTGGACCAGTCACATTGTCCAGATGCCTGACCACCATCTCCCAAAGCAGTTGCTCTACTCCAAACTCAAGAAGGAAAATGGAATGTTGGTGGACAGGAAAAGAGATTTAAAGATGGGCTCAAAGCCAACATTAAAAGCTGTGACATAGACACTGAGAACTGGGAAGCCTTGGCCTTTGAATGCTCCAGCTGGAGGTCAGCTGTGACCAGTAGTGCTGTAGAATTTGAAGAGGCACAAATGGAGGGCGAAAGAGAGAAACATGCCAAGAGGAAGGTGCATCAAGCCAACCCCAAACGAGACGACCTTCCACCTGGAAAGCAATGTCTTCACTGCGGGAGAAGATGCGGGTCAAGAATAGGACTCCACAGTCACCTACGGACCCACCAGCACACTGATCCTGGAAGACTATCCTACTCGGACAACAAGGGATCGCCTAAGTAAGTAAGTAAGTCTTCATCTTAGGCTAACTTGACACTCAAGAAAAAGAAGTGCAACCATTTCCAACACATTTTCAAATATTCTTTATATTCCTAGCAAGACACACCTGGGATATCTACACTGCGAAACCTTGGTTATCTTGCTTTTATTTCTATGCGTGAATCTAGACAAGGCATGGACAAACTTCATGTGGTTTGGACTTCAACTCCCACAATTCCTAGGAATTCAGTGCTCTGGAATCATGGGAACTGTCATTTTACAAGGTCTTTAGCCCTTCTTGGACAAAAAGTCCTGATGTCTCACCAAACCACAGTTCCTAGTAGGAAAAGAAGAAGACCACACAGCAGGTGAATAGACTCAGTCAAGCAAGCTATGGTGCTGAATTTGCAAGATCCGATAACGAAATCATATTCTGTGAAGGCCCATTCTTATGCTCTCAATATGTTATTGAAGTTGTGTGAGCTTCAAGGCAGAACACGGAGACAAAAACTGGTGGCAAAATCCCCCAGCCAGCATTGCAGATATTAATCTTTTCTGTCGTGGACACCTGAGGAGCTGCGGAGAAGAAATTCAAGCTCCCATTTGAAGTTTTGCCTTTGCCACAAAGGGCCAAGGAAGCTTGTTTCCAAGAGAAGTTTGTGGCCTCCAAGACACAATCACTGACAGCACATTTGACGCATATCAGTGAATTATTGATCAGTGTTAACATTGCAGCTCTGACAACACCATTACCGGCTTTGATTTCATGTTTAAATCATCTTCCCTGTAATACGTGATCTTTTATTTAATATGTTCCTAGCCATTTCCCTCCTCACCCGAACCCCAGGTCTTTGTTTATTCTCCTTTGTGAAGCTTGAAGGGAACCGCCTGTCAAATGAAATCAAAGCCAAGAAGTGGTTAGGAATCAGGTGGAGAAGTCAAACAAAAGATCACCAAGAGGCAATGGGCACAGTTGGCTGTTCCTGCAGGATTCATGTGGAAAGCTGGGAAGCTTACACAATTCAATCTCATTAGGTGACACCATTGAATTGTAAGTGGTGGAAGTGATTCGGCTTAGACCTTTGTAGAGGACAAAACTTTCTTTCCTTGGGAAGTCTGATCTGGCCACGGTGGTCCACGCTCTTGTTACACCCCGAATAGATTACTGCAACGCGCTCTACGTGGGGTTGCCTTTGAAGTCTGTTCGGAAACTTCAATTAGTCCAACAGGCAGTGACTAGATTATTCACCGGAGCGTCATACAGGGAACATATCACCCCTTTGTTATGTCAGCTCCAATGGCTGCCGATCCAGTTCTGAGCACAATTCAAAGTGCTGGTTTTGACCTACAAAACCCTATACGGCTCTGGCCCTGCATACCTGTCTGAACGTATCTCCTTCTACATCCCACCTTGGAGATCTTCTGGGGAGGACCTGCTCTCGGCCCCACCTTTATCACAAGTGAGACTGGTGGGGATGAGGGACAGGGCCTTCTCGGTGGTGGCCCCTTGCCTGTGGAATGCACTCCCCGGGGAAATTAGGTCATCAACATCCCTCCTCTCTTTCAGAAGGAAGTTAAAAACCTGGATATGGGACCAGGCCTTTGGGTAAGCTGGCAGATGGATAAAAGACAATGATGACCAGAGTAGGAAAGGACAATGACAATACTGGATGGATTATGGATTTATGAATTGGCGAACATTGACCACAAGATG